ACAGACAGACTGACACAGAGAGAGAGAGAAAGAGAAAGAAAGGAAGAAATAAATAAATAAAGAAGGAAAAAAGAAAGAAAGAAAAAGAGTGCGAGAGAAATGAAAGAAAAAAAGAAAAAAGGGACAGAGAGACAAAAGGAAGGAGAGAGAGAGAGAGAGAGAGAGAAAGAGAAAGAAAGGAAGAAATAAATAAATAAAGAAGGAAAAAAGAAAGAAAGAAAAAGAGTGCGAGAGAAATGAAAGAAAAAAAGAAAAAAGGGACAGAGAGACAAAAGGAAGGAGAGAGAGAGAGAACACATGGCCGGCAAGCCACTCCCACAAAGGAGGCCACACCCACAGAGTAGGTTCCAAAAAAGTTTGAAACCCACCACTGTTGTGTACCAACCTCTTATCCTGGCTTACATCCAGACCCTTTTGCATGTGAACATGTTCATGTATTGCTGTTTGATTACTGCTGTCTGATGCCTAGTTCTCTTTTTTTCATATCGTAGTTTTATTCATTTAGGTACCGCTCTCAGACCCATCCCCAGCCATCCCTGCAGAGACTTCAGGATAGCTGCACTGATAAAACATTATTTAAAAACCCCACATAAAAATAAATTTCAACCTAACAGACATGCAAGGACTTCAAATCAGAAAGTATTTTATTGATTACAAAACTGCGTTCTTGTTAGTATCTCCCAACCAGGAGAAACCGAACCATTCTGGGCCCCAACCGAGTATCACCCAATGGTGTCATCAGCTACCAAGAGGCACATGGGCAAGATCTGCTCAGCACTTAAGGAAGCTGACAAGCAAAGAGGGGTTGCTGATACCTGGACAATTGATCTCAAGTATTTAGGATGTGTTTAAAAAAAAAAAGGCACTTTCTGTGCACCCTTAAAGCCCATCAACAGGACACAACTTATCAGGATGCCTGCTCTACCATGGGCTTTCTTTTAGAGGGCAGGCCAGTAGCATCTTTGGAAAGAGCAATGGTCTGGAAATGAGTCAATATTTTCCTAAAAGTCCCTATTTCCTTATTGCTCCATGTGTGGAGAAGTAAACAGACATCAAAGGAGTACATCAACCGTGCCAACTGCTGGCCTTTTTCATTAAAAAAAGAAATACTTGGCACTTGGCCTTTAGGCCTTTTCAGTATAAATAGCAAAAAGTAGCACACATAAGTAACTCTTATGCTACCTTCTTCCAAACTGTGTTAACTGCATGATCCAGGACCAGCTATCCTCTTTAGCAGCTAGAACAGCTTTGCTAAATCCCAGATCCTGGGTATCATAGGGCAAAAAATGCTGGACTGTAATTCCAGACTATAAACTGTTGCACGCCATGCCCTTGATGTGAGGCTACTCAATAAAGCAGCTCCTTTCTTACTACTCAACAGCCAGCTTTGACCCAGGTCAGCAATAAACTTCTCATGTGATGAAAGGAAAACGGAAAGCACTTCATTAGACCTCTCTAGAGCAGCTTTTACTTAAAAGGTCAAATAAAAGGCAAGGTATACATGCAGATTACGGTAACCTTTCCTAGTTGGCTGTTCCCTCTTGCTTGTGTTGAATTGCTCCTCTTGCCCATCATCTGGTTGGAGAAAGGAGCGAGAGGCAAATATTCATGTCCCCAGGATAATGTTGCAGGATCCAATCTGAGTCGGTCGGTCATTGGGATCAGAGGTTTAATCTTCCAAGCTTTCAGACTCGTACTGGAGCCCTTCTTCAGGGAACTTCTCTCCTTCCAGAATGGACTCCAGCATGAGTCCAAAAGTTTGGAAGATGAAACTTCTGGTGACCAAATCAGATTGGATCCTGCAGAATAATGAGAATGAAAAATTATGAAAATTGTGTTTCAGGGAAACTTAACACTCGCCTTTTTAAAATAGAGTAGACAAGATTCTACTTGGCAAAAGCATGAGAGTATCTTCTATGCAGGCTGGACTATTGGGGACAAGCAAAGGTCCTCCTCCAATTGCTTTGTGGTGTTATTTTAACAGAAGATAAACAATGAAATGACAGGTACCCACAAGGCAGATGGTACAGCTTAGGAACTATAAGGTTTCCAGGAAATCTTCCCAATGACGTCCACTGTCCCCATCCCAAAATGCAGATGAAGAATGATAGAGCAAGGCTTTAGATGGCTTCTAAGCAACCCCAGGGGAGAGCCCATAGCCACTTGAGGGCTGCTTAGCAGCAGCAGACCTCTACTCTGTGGTTGCTAGAGAAAGGGTAACAAGGCCCCTCTGCTTCCTTCAGTAAAAGGCAGAAGAATGAAATAATGGAGAGCCACCCAGATGTTTAAAGTTAAGCAAAGCATCCCCAGAGCTACAGAGCAGATCTTGAAACTAGTTGAGTGTTTTTAGCCCGATCTCCCAGCAATACAGGCCAATTCATTCAATAAAAAGGTCCAAAGTTGCGGTGCAGAAGTAAGAGTTCCGTTGCCATCAACTATCTCCGTTAATGGAAAGCTCCTCTGTGGCCAGCAGACCTTCTCTATCAACATCTCTCACTGCAACCCCTGCTGGTGGCCTCCCCCAGGGCAGGCGAGCAAGGAGGGGCTGGTGCAGTTCATTATAAAGGGCAGCTCCAACGAGAAGGATGAGGAAACCCAGGATCTGCAGTCCATGAAAGACCTCCCAGCCAATGGCCAGGCTGACAACCCAGATGACAATGGTGCGCAAGCTATCGAGTACCATCCGGGTGGTGGCGCTGATCTCTTTCGTGACACTGATGCCAGCAAAGTTGAAGAAGGCAATGCTGCTGATATTGCCCAGCAGGGCTACAGCAATAAGTGGCAGATGGCCAATCTGGCAGAAGGCATCTATAGAATCTTCCAGTACCTGCCGTGGATTACCGCTGAAACTGCCCCCAGGTATGAAGTACATGGGCACCAGGATGATGGAGAGTATGACGAACCCAAAGAAACCTGTTAAAAAGGAAGAGGAAATGAAGATGATTGAAACTCAGGAGGATCATAATCTCCCCCAAGGTGGTCCTGTCAAAAAGGTAAACACAGCTTTGAGTTGTGCTCAAGACCTAGTGATCACATTGACATAGTCTTGGCAAGAGTAAAAACATTGCTTGCCATTGCTTTCTTCAGGATGTTTTTCAAATGTCCCAATCTGGATATACCTCTGGACATTCCTGCTAGTCTCCCACCAGTACTTTACTTGACTTTCAAGCCCAGGCAAGATTGGTCAGATATTGTTATCTGTTCTGACCCCCTCCTCCGTCCAGTAACGAAAGTCGAGACAAGCTTAAATGGAATGTCCTTTAATAACAAGACCAGAAT